CATGTTGGACCCCCATTTGCTTTCAGAACTGCCTCAATTCTTTGTGGCATAGATTCAACAAGGTACTGGAATTATTCTGGAGAGATTTTGGTCCATATTGACATGATTTGTCAGCTACATATCCATGATGCGAATCTCTCGTTCCATCCCATCCCAATAGTGCTCTATTGGATTAAAATCTGGTGATTGTGGAGGTCATTTGAGTACAGTGTCATGCTCAAGAAACCAGTCTGAGATAATTTGGACTTTATGACATGGTGCGTTATCCTGCTGGAAGTAGCCATCAGAAGATGGGTGCTCTGTGGTCATAAAGGAGTGGACATGGTCAGCAACAATACTCAGGTAGGCTGTGTCATTGACACAATGATGAATTGGTACTAAAGGGCCCAAAGTGTGCCAAGAAATTATGCCCCACATTATAACGCCACCACCAGCAGCCTGAACTGTGTATACAAGTCAGGATGGATCCATGCTCTCATGTTGTTCATGCCAATTTCTGGCCCTAGCATCCGAATGTCGCAGCAGAAATCGAGACTCATCAGACCAGGCAATGTTTTTCCAATCTTCTATTGTCCAATTTTGGTGAACCTGTGTGAATTGTAGTCACAGTTTCCTGTTCTCAGCTGACATGAGTGGCACCCGGTGTGGTCTTCTGCTGCTGTAGCCCATCAGCCTCAAGGTTGGACGTGTTGTTATTTGAGTTACTGTTGTCTTTCTATCAGCTTGAACCAGTATGGCCATTCTCCTCTGAACTCTCCTCTGGCATCAACAAGACATTTGCGTACACAGAACTGTCGCTCACTTGATATCATCTCTTTTTTTGGACCATTCTCTGTACACCTTAGAGATGGTTGTGCGTGAAAATCCCAGTAGATCAGCAGTTTCTGAAATACTCAGATCAGCCTGTTTGGCACCAACAACCATGCCATGTTCAAAGTCACCTATATCACCTTTCTTCCCCATTCTGATTTTGCTGCCATGTGATTGGCTGATTAGAAATTTGCATTAACGAACATTTAGACAGGTGTACCTAATAAAGTGGCCGGTGAGTCTATGCACAAAGAATAAAAGACAAAATTCAAAAAAGAATATCTTTGACCAATATAGATAGTCTGCTTTAATGTCATGCTCATATCACTGCAAATTATAACTTATATGATCGTACTTATTTATTAATTTGACTATAAGACGAATATTAATATATGTTAATATATTATTAATATAAACATTGCAATTTGTTGTAAAGCTGATTTAAAACAAAGTGTTGGTTATTTTGTAAAGTTAAGAGCAAACTTGATTTAAAACAATCTCTTTTGATATCCCTTACTTAAAGCAGGCAGCTGTGGTTGTGTATTAAATATTGAATACTGTGCATTTCTTTAATTTGACTAGGTCATGGGGATAACTCTTGGAACATTGCACAAGTCACTCTAAATGTTAAGGAAAAATTCCGGTACTTCTTCCAGGGTATTGTGGGCCCCAACAAAACATCAGGGATCTTTATAGATGACATTATTCTGACTGAAACATCATGTCCAAACACTGTCTGGAGGATCCAGAACTTTACCAACCTCCTCAATACTCTCCCACATGATGCCAAAGTTCAGAGTGAACGTTTTTACAACTCTGAGGGTTACGCTTATGGAATTAATGTTTATCCAAATGGCAGGGTGAATTCATCTAAAGAGTTTGTAGGGATTACGTTTAATCTTTTCGGTGGTGAGAATGATGCAGTATTAGAATGGCCTGCGGTGAATCGGCAAGTCACTGTTACAGCAAAGGACCAAAATCCAGATGCAACCCTGCAAATGTCCAACAGCAGAAGCTTTACCACTGGTGCGTATCTGTCTGTCTGTCTGTCTGTCTGTCTGTTTGTATTTTCATTTTGCAGCACGTAGGGATTCATGAATAATTAAAGAAACTCAGTGAATCACTGATTTAGATGCTGACATGCGGTGGAATAAACCATCTACATTTGAACAATGGGATGATAGTTGCCTTTGCTTCAGAGGACCAGAGTTTGGCTGGGGTACCTTCATATCTCACGATCAGCTCCGCAGGAGAGACTTTCTCAAGAACGACGACCTGATCATCACTATTAATTTTGATGGTGAGAACCTTTTTTTGAGTGGATTTAAAGTGTTAGTTCACCCAAAAATTAATTTGTTTAATATCCACAATTTTGAGAGCATGAGTTGCTAGATGAGTGGCAAGTGTGTGTTTTGCACATCTTGATTGAGATATTATAGTGACATGAAGATCATGTTCGTACAGTCATATAGTCAGCTTTAAGCTTAAAAGATGATTCAAAAATACAGTGTGAGTCAGGGTTAAAGGAATAATTCACCCAAAGTTGTAATGCAATAAATATTTATCTTGATTTTTTCATAACTGTTGGAGGCCAAAGTCAAAACTAAATCTCTAGCTACTATTATTTTCTAAAATCATTCAGTAGAGAACTTGATTTTAAGTGACTTACCCTTAACTTTGAAAAGTCACTTATGTCTAAGTCCATGTGCATTGGAAACTTGCACACTAAGCCTAGGACAGAAAAATTTCCTTACAATTTTGGTCCTGCTAGCATCCAAACATAACCACAGCCATACTGTCCATATGTGTCTCGGGGAGGTAGGACTGAAGTGTAATTCAAGGACCTGATTTACCACATTTCTGCATGTCTGGGTTATTAAGAGTTGACAAAGCATTATTTTATTTTGGAGGGAAAGAAGTTATGGATAAGGACATTTTAATATTCAGTGGGTATTGCTGGGGACATGCCACCTCTGTCATTTCTGTCTAATTCTAAACCCTTGACTTAACCTACAACATTTTCTGGTGAACACCTAAGAGGATATTTTGAAAAATGTTGGACACCTGTTCTCATTGCTCTCCAAAGTATTTGTTTTTCCTACTATGGAAGTGATAGGTTTATAACATTTTTTCAAAGTATCCTCTTTTGTGTTCAACAGAAAGCAAAAACTCATAAATGCATGGAACCACTTATAGTAAATAGTGAGTATTGTTTAATTTTTGGGTGAACTATTCCTTTTAAGGCATTGATTTGCTGCAGTTAGTGGTGCAATAAGGGTGATCAACACATAGAAGTCAACCAAATAAAGTGGCAGGAAAGTGTAAATTCATCTTAATGATTAAAATTTTGTTTTTCTTAAACAATTAGATTTGGCACATCTTGTAAAATCTGAAGTTCCAACCAAAGTCTCAAACAACCCCCAGCCTGCAGAAAAAAACATTGAGAAACCAAAAATCCGACAACCACGAGCAATCAGTGATCTGTGTCAACCAAACCCCTGCCAAAATGGAGGAGCGTGTGTCACACATCAGGGGAAAGCAACATGCAGGTAAATGAACCTAAACCTGACCATTATCTGATTTTAAAACAAATGAGAGCTTGTAATAAATAGGGGATAATCCAGCCTGATTTCATGAGGTAACTATTTTACGTTTTGTCAGTTTAGTGGCTAATTCATATGAATTCGTACAAGTTAAATCATACGATTTTAAAAAGGAGGTGTGGCGCTCAACCCCACCCCTAAACCCAACCATCATTGGGGATAAGTACAAATTGTACAAATGAGATCACATGAATTCACGAATTAGCCACTAAAACAAAAAGTTACAAATTCCTGTGAGGAATCAACCTATTGCCATGCGTTAAAGGATTTGAAATGTACAATGTGGAGGCAAAGAACCACCCAATGCAAAGCAGAGGAACATTGCCTACTCGAAGAGAGATTGCATGTGTGTGCATGTAATTGACGGGCATATCTAATAGCTCATATAACATCCAGCTACTTCTTTGCAAATATCTTGGTGCATATTAGAGAGTTGATTAATCCCCATCAGCTCCCTGCTGAAGAATACGTTGGTGTCCTCGAGATTACACAGAACAATGAAAACTTTGTATACTGAGTTGCTAAGGTTACTACAAATGATTGAGGGAAACATGTTTTTATTGAAATTCAAAGTTGTTCAAAACTGACTGGAACTACCTGCGCATTAAACGATTTTATTGTACACCTTCCAGCCAATCAAAATCAAGACTTTAGCCAGACCATAGAATAAGAAAGGGATAATCAATGGTTTGCCATGCGTTAAGGGATTTTAATGCACAACGTGGAGTGCAGCCTGCGGGGTCAGGCTGATGTAAAGCTTCTCTTGGATATGGTCATGGTAATGAGAAATATTTATATTATTTTTTACATTTCCCATTTATTGTATTTTATTAACATCTACCTCCACCTCAACCCTAAACTCATCAACCCTAAATCATCACAGTAACGTAAAAACAGTAGTTGTACAGAGTATTATTTATGCTGTCTATTGAATTACCCAATAAATAGTTTTTTTAATTGTCTACCCCCACCCCAACCGTCACAGTAACGTAAAAATATGAATTATTGTTATACAGTGTTATAAAAATGCTGCTATAATTGATGTGCATGATGCATCCCTATACGTAAACTGTCGATTTGACTTTAAAATAACTACATTCTCTTTTGAAACACTCTTAAAACTTGATTTTGTGGCAAAATAGAGGAGTATTTTTCTAATTTTGCGAATTTCCGATCCACCACTAACCATCCTCACAGCACATGTGAGTTGCTAATAACATTTGGAAGAAGCACATTTATTTCAAACTGTAATCAAAACTGACTGGAACTACCTTTACGTTAATTGATTTTAATGCACACCCTCCAGCCAATCAGAATCAAGAAATCCAACAGACTATATAATAATGACAGTTATGTGTCGTCTGCAGGTGTGCCTCTGGACAGGCTGTTGTGTACACAGGAGACACTTGTGAGAAACAACACATTGACGGAGGAATTATGGGAGTTTTGATTGGGGGTGCTGTTGGAACTGTAGCACTTACTGTTGCTATCATTGCAGTGATCTACAGGCAGAAGTAAAGCTAGACATCTGAATACCATCATTCTGTAATATGCAACATGCTTCTTTAAAGAATCAGAGTAGTCTGCTCAAGATTTATCTTTTATTCAGAATAAAAGTTGTGCTATCAACAATCGCATCTCTCTTTTTTCCACATCCCTTTAAAAGAAACAAGGAAATAGGTCTAACAAGAGAAAAACCGAAACAATAATTTGTCAAGCTGAAGAGGAGTGTTTATACGTGTTAAATTGTCTTTGGTTCATCAGATATTCCGTCACAATTTCTAAATAGCACATAGAAATCAATGTCACAGTTCCGCAGAACAGAAGCAGAGCTAAAACTAAACATATTACAATCAAGTTAAGTGACCATATTTATATTGCCTTTATCAGATGTACAGCATTGTTTTAAATAAAATACAACAACAATCAGGGTAGAAAACTATAGATAATTGCTACATATATACAGCGGTACTTATATTGTTCTTTTAAAAACACAAACATGACCATCTCTTATATTTTTGTATCCGTTTCTCATTGTTTGTTCCTAAATGTGTGTAGTACTGTATATGACCAGAGCCTGTTCTTTGTCCCAAGCATGATAAAGTCTTTTAAAGTACAAGAAGTACTTTTAGGTCTTCACCAAACAGTTGTGCTGTATCTACTATTTTTGTGCGTCTGTGAGTTCAGAGATGAGTCTGTGTCCCGCAATGTTTTAAATGCTCCTTCTGTGATGCAAATTGAAACAAAAAATATATAAAAGAGCTTTCGTTAGAAGAAATTATAAAAAATAGTTTTCTGTAGAGCTGCTTTTAAAGATGCTTAACAAATAATGAGCCTAGCAACACTATTACTGATCTAAACTGAATCAATTTTAAACCATTTTGAGCTGAATAATGAAATTCTTGTATTCTGTAGAGCTGCTGTATAGCTACATTACATTTCTTTAATTTGATGAACTAATAATGCTGGCACTTCTATCAAACTAAATTTAATGAACTGAATTGTCCTGAATAGTTAGAAAATCCCCTCTGTTTTACAGTGTTATATGTATTCAAAGTAGCTATAGCGGTAACAGACTTCGTAACATTCATTTAAGTTATTTTGCTATTTTTACACTATTAAGATGCTTTACAATACTTTACTGTATAACTTGCAATATAATGAATGATTTTTAAAAAATACATACCTTGTGTGCATTTTCTTGTGTGGATCATTTATTTTGCAACGGATGTTGTTGTGTTTTGTTCTTTAGCTGATTTCTAAAGAATGTTAAAAAAATAAATAATTTTAGAGAAACTTTTTAAAAAATAATATTTTAATAAAAATATAATATTTAAAAATATTTTTACATGATCTAAAAACATTGTAGTTGTAATAAATACACACATTTAAAATGTTCACATTTTTCTGTGGTATGGCAGTTAAAAAAATTAATTTCCTGGAACTTACCCCCACAATTATTTTTAATATTTCATCTCGGACCTGAAGAAAAAAAAAAAAAAAAAAAAAAAAAAAACATGTCAGTGATCTATGGTCCTATCTAAACTAAACAGCCATGAGGTTAATTTATTAGTTGAAAATTCTGTCAGCAATTACTCAACCTCATTCATCCATTCATTCTTTCATTCATTCATTCATTCATTCATTCATTCATTTTCTTTTTGGATTAGTGCCTTTATTAATCAGAGGTTGCCACAGTGGAATGAACCACCAACTTATCCAGCATATGTTTTACACATGCAGTGAATGCCCTTTCAGCTGCAACCCAACTCTTGAAAACGTCCATACATTCACAAACGTCATTCACACTCACACTACGGACAATTTAGCCTACCCAATTCACCTGTACTGCATGTCTTTGGACTGTGGGGGAAACCGGAGCACCCTGAGGAAACCCACGCAAATGCAGGGAGAACATGCAAACTCCACACAATAACACCAACTGACCCAGCCGAGGCTCGAACCAGCAACTTCGTGCTGTGAGGCGACAGCACAACCTACTGCACCACCATGTCGTCTACTCAACCTCGTGTCTATCCAATTCTTGGATTAGGATGTTTTAGATAAAATCTGAGAGTTTCCTAATCCTCCATTACCAGTAAAGGTCCTGACTCGTTTAACAGATATATTAATGTAGCAAAAAACCTAATCAAAACAGACCATATGTATTCTGTAGTTCAACCTGAATATTGCCAAGCTACGAAAATACTTTTGTGCACATAAAAACAAAAACAAATGACTATTCTACAGTTTCCTCTGTGTCAGTATAAAGTTACCATGAGCGATGTACAGTTAAAGTCTGAATTATTAGCCCCCCTTCTTTAATTTTTTACCCAATTTCTGTTTAACGGAGAGAAGACTTTTTCTAAACACATTTCTAAACATAATAGTTTTAATAACTCATTTCTAATAACTGATTTATTTTATCTTTGTCATGATAAGAGTAAATAATATTTTACTAGATATTTTTCTAAGACACTTCTATACAGCTTAAAGTGAAATTTAAAGGCTTAACTAGGTTAATTAGGTTAACTAGGCAGGTCAGGTTAATTAGGCAAGTTATTGCATATCGATGGTTTGTTCTGTAGAATATCGAAAAAAAATATTGCTTAAAGGGTCTAATAATTTTGACCTAAAAATGTTTTTTTTTTTTTAATTCAAAACTGCTTTTATTCTAGCCGAAACAAAGCAAATAAGTATCAGACATACTGTGAAAATTTCCTTGCTCTGTTCAATATCATTTGGGAAATATTTAAAAGAGGAAGAAAAAAAAATCAAAGGGGGGCTAATAATTTTGACTTCAACTGTATATGTTAAATAATATTTTTCTGTTAGCCCTGGCAGACTAGACAAACTGTCTCTCTTGCAGCATTGTTAAGTTTCCATTAACAAATGGATAGCAGATAATTTCCTACAATCAAACCCTGATAAAACGGAAATGTGGATTTTTGCCCCAGATAGCATCACATCCATAATTAGACAAGTTTTTAGGGGGTTGTCATCTTCAAATTGCTGTGGCATTAGAAATCTGGGTATCATGTTTGATAGAGCTCTGGGTTTTGACAGCCATGTTAAGTCTGTTGTTTGTACACGCTTTTTACATCTGAGGAACATTGCAATAATCAAAAATATTGTTTCAAAGGAAGAGATGACGATGCTTATCTAAGCCTTTATCTCCTCACGGCTGGATTGCAAGTTGTCCAGGATGTAGTGGCGAGGCTTTTAACCAACACCTGTAGTAGGTCGCACATTACTCCTGTGCTTAAGGCACTTCACTGGCTTCCTGTTAGTTTTAGTCAATTTTAAGATTCTGATCATTACATGTAGAGCTCTGCATCTCTTTTGTATTCAAAAACTTTTACAGTCACTCATGTAGCCAGTCTGTGGAACCAGGGCTGGCAGTGTTCTTGCTGTGGGGCTCATAGTGCTAACCACTGGGCCGACGTGCCGCCCAATCAGAGGTAAAGGAGGAGAATAGGGGAGGAGGGGGGTTTCTTCCAAACGAAGATAAAGTGAACTGAAAACTGTGGCTATTTATAGTAGCTTAGGGCTCATATGATTGGAAGATAGTGATTAGCAAATGCGAGACCGGCCGTGATAAATCATAAGCACGTGATCCTCTCGAAATTAGTTTATGAATAAACTTCACTGAGAACTCTGGGATCAGTTGAACTTTTTAAAAAGCATTTAATGGTGAGTTGGTTTTACATCAGTGTTTGTACTTTTTTTATAAACAAGGTTTTACCTTGTTTTAATATGTTTTCTTCTGTTGATATGTGTTCTTTTACCTGTTTTCTGGTTTTTATTCATTGTAAAGCACTTTTTGACTTTGTCTGTGAAAGGTGCTGTATAAACCTTTTACTTACACCACAGATTCCTGCACGCAACTTCCACTGTTTGAAATACAGCACAGGCCCTTATGTGCATCTTAACTGAGCGCACCACCACAAAGAGCACAGTGTTCTCATGAATGCACCTATACTGAAACTGTTGAATAAAGTCATTATTTTTTATTTAAGTGCACACAAAAGTATTTTCATAGCTTGATTATATTCAGATTGAACGCTTAAAGGCAAAAAATCTGTTTTAAGGATTTTAATTGCGCATTTTTCTGGACTTTGAAAGAGTCAGCACCCTTGCTGTTTATGAAGGATAAGGGAGCTCTCAGAATTAAAGATATCTTCTGTATTAAGTCGAACAGAGGTCTCAGTGGTTTGGATCAACATGAGAGTGAGTAATTAATAACATAATTGATTATCAAAATAATAGCAATGCCTACCCTTTTCTCTGCAAAACATCCAGTCAACAAGATGAAGAAGCCCTGGAAGGTATACAAAAGCATGAGGTTATAACTGTATGCATATATCAGCTGTACTTTTTAAAGTGGTAAAATCTGTACAGAGAGACAGGGCAATACCTGCAATGAGTTGAGAATGGTGAACAAATAATTCACTAAGTATGTAATAAACTGCGAAGAGTCATCTATCAGAAACACAAAAAGCCCCAGAATCCAAGTCCCACCAAAAACAGGTGTGAGGAAGAGTATGACTTTGATGATGCTTTTTGCTGCATCCTTATCCCCCTTTTTGTTTGTCTCAGCTCCGGACGGCTTTAAAACGGTTGCTATGACCACCAGCATGGAACACATGTTCACCAGCACAATTGTCCCAACAGGAAACAGAAAAGCGTGGATGGATCCCTGCATAGGCGACTGATAGGTGAGCCAGCAGGTTTTGGAGCTATAATATGGGATGCTAGTTGCTTCTTCGTAGTACACATATGTAACCGCCACAGTCACCGTCGGACAAAAATAGCCGATGGTGAATCCTAGAATCATGTACACCTTTTTCCCAATGCGGCTGAAAACGAAAATGAGCTGGTGGACCAGCATGAGACTCAGACAAAGCATCCAAAAGAACATCGCCAGGAAGAAGTAATGCTTCGCCACCACCAGAACAAGGCAGAGGGTTTCATTTAGGATTGACGGGAAGGAGGAAGCTAAGAAACTGCAGTCAGCCAATAGCAGAGAGAGAGCGATGTTGACGAGTGCGGTGTGCCGGAAGTGGGAAAGATTGGATTTGACCACGGCGGACCAGACCAAGAACTCAATGATGATGTAGGCCAACAGAGAGCATATGGAGACGCCCAGTCCGATGTATGTGAGCTGATCTAGAAAGGGCATGCTTATTGGGTACTTGGACATGAGCATGGAGAAGGAGGTCAGATGGTTGCACTGGCAGTAGCCTTCACCTCCACGACCCTTTACGTACACGCAGCCCTCGTCTGACCATCTCTCTTCTGAGACGTTCCAGAAAACACATTGCATTGCGGCATTGATGCCCTCTTCATTTGGAAAAGCCAGTCTGATGTTGACTGACGCCTGAGTGTTGTTCTCAACTGTGCTGGATACGACTATGCTAGGAAAAAGGGAATTTTCGTAGCCCACCTTTGGCAGAAGATTGGCCAAGCTCTGTAGTCCTACCGTTTTGACCATATCTGCTGTTGCGTTCACCTCAATATCCACATTGAAAATGGTTTTATTGCAACCGGAGCCACCTTTGCAGACCTGCAGCTGGATGTTTGAGGCATTGTAGCCCTCGCTGGTGTTTATTCGGATGCTTTTCACAAGGCCTTCTACAGATGACAGATACTGGCTGGCCAGCGCCCCGCTCTGTGTCTTGTCTCCCACTTCCCAGGATCCGTTCAATATGCTGCTGGCTGATTCCAGGAAATCCTTCAAAAGAGCAGAATTTTAAAATGTGTGAGAGGATTCTAATTAAGTAATTATTTTATACTTGATCAAGTCATTGAGCTTGGAATATAGAAATTTCTGAATGTCTGAGATTAAGCATACATTTAGAAGAAGATCCTCAGCTCATCAAGAATGCATTTTAATTTATAAACAATATTATAAACTACTATTACAGTTTCAAAAAGCATCAAACATGTTTAGAAAATCCAAAAAACAAGTGTTTTGTGCATTTTTCATAACTATAAACTTCAGTTACTTTCACTATTTACCTTTGATTAACAGGGCAAAATAAACTGTAACTACTATACAAAATAAATGCAATTGTTGTGCCATAAAGTACGGTTACTACTTCTACTGTTTGAGGGAAGCACATTTACTTCAAACTGTGTTCAAAACTGACTGGAACTACCTGCACATTAAAGAGCGCCTACTATGAGTTTCTGAAAATGACCTTCCATGCAGTGTGCAACACAGGTCAAAGTGTATAAACATATAGCTGAGGGTTAAATTTGAAAATGCATCTCGTTTAAAAATATACATTTTTTAAAAAAAAGATTCAGCTCAGAGTTGTTACATGATTCGTCGTTAGTCCGGATCTTTTGACTGTTTTTAATCAACGTTGACATCAAACAATACCAAATATGAACTACTGGATCTGGTAAAACATAAATGCGCCTTTCCATTGAGACACTATTTTAATCAACGCTCTATTTTACTCCAATAAAATGTTCATTCATTAATTTTTCTTTGGCTTTGTACCTTATTTATCAAGGTTCACCCCAGTGGAATGAACCGCCTCATCAAAATGTTATAAAAATATATTATTAAAATTGTTTTCTGTTTGTAAGATTCCATTCCATGAGCCTAAAGACAAAATCCGATGAATGGTCAAAGGCTAAATGTGTTAGCCTTTTGCTAAAGTTTATGAAGAAAATTTAGAATTTATTTAAATTAGTTTCCAGCTCCGAGTTCAATCTGACTCTAATTTTTATTATTCCAATTTTATGTTTTTAGCTAATCACATTATTAGTTGTGATATAATTCAGATTTTGATCTTTTCATGGGTCCGATATTCTTAATTGTTTGTTCATTAAGGACCAAACACCTCTTAGAGTTCCACTCCCTGGGATTGCGTTTCTTCTCACAGACACTATCTCGACATTCTGAAGTTAGTCAGAGGATGTAGGATTAACTAACACCCAATTAATCCGGTTGTCTTCTGCTCACTTGTACTAAAAGAATAGTTATTTGACCATTTTCATAAAACTTTTAATATTCTTGATTAAATGATTAAAAGGTCTTCATGCTGCCATGCCACACTGCTCCGTACAGTCAAATGAGCCTTAAAAATTGATAAAATCATTCATTCATTTTCTTGTCGGCTTAGTCCCTTTATTAATCCGGGGTCAGCACAGCGGAATGAACTGCCAACTTATCCAGCAAGTTTTTACGCAGCGGATGCCCTTCCAGCCGCAACCCATTTCTGGGAAACATCCACACATACACACACACACTCATACACTACAGACAATTTAGACTACCCAATTCACCTGTACTGCATGTCTTTGTACTGTGGGGGAAACCCACGCGAATGCAGGGAGAACATACAAACTCCACACAGAAACGCCAACTGAGCCGAGGACCCAGCAGCCTTCTTACTGTGAGGCGAACGTGCTACCCACTGCGTCACCCGATAAAATCATGTCACAACATAATGGTAGCGCAGACTCTGCATATTTATACTGGATAATATCTGCATAATATACTGAATGCAATAGATTCTGGAGACTAATGAAAAAGGATAACGTTCATTTTCCAGTGTATCATGGCAATTAGAATCAAACAATAAAAGCCAATTCAAAAGTAAATGTACAACATCAATTACTCAAAGATAATTCTAAGAGTAATGACCTTATTCTTAGCATATGAGCGGGTGCAGCCATTTGAATCTTTTTGGCTTCAATTCATTTTTAGATGTTAAAAACAGCTTGTTATGCTGCTTGATGTTACAAACTGATATTTTCTTTTTTATTAATTTACTTTGCATCGTCCTGTGCACACTTTCTTGTAGAGCAAGTATTTTGGCCATTTTTTGCTGCTTGTTATTCCTAGTAATTTCTCCTACAGGCGGCTGAATCACAAGTTCTAAAACAATCGCAAAAACGAGCGCACTTCCTCATTGAAGAAAACGGTCAATAGATGGAAGTCCAAATTATACATAGTGTTGAGCTCTTTACTATGGGTCGGTCCGCATGCAGACTTGCGACCCCGAGACATTTCGTCCTTTTTTTAAATACCCCAGGAGAGCAAAGATTAGTTATTTTAAGTTAACCAGTGACTTAAAGATATACTCATCTGTTGTTTAATTAAAATTTACAATGACAAAACCTCATTACCAGTCACACGTGAGTATTTAGCAATAGCAGAGGGGAAGGAAAGTTCAGCTAGAGGGCAAAGCCTATCCTGGGCCTTTTTTCTTCAGATTTTTGTTGTTGTCTTATTACAGGACACATTGAAGTCTGAGTAAAATCCATCCCTACATGTTTTAAAATATCTAATTAACTTGTGTGATGGCAAAGCTGAATTTTCAACTTCAAATTAATAAATAATATTGAATAAACTACACTATTACAGAACCTTCTATGAAAAGCAGAACTCTCTTTCTGAAATTAACAAAGTCTTTAGGCCTACTAGTGTACAAACATATTTAAAGGTAAGCTGTCAAATGTGAGCGAAATGGTTGATATACTTACTGGAAGAAGGTTTTCGCCTAGTGGAACATTGACTGATGCCGCTTTCATAGTCTGGAAAACGTTGACTGCTGTGCTGATGTCTCCAAAACTGTTCTCACCATCTTCTTCACTAGCAGTGTTGTTTTTTAAACTTTGAAAGATGTACTGTGCGCCCCCTTGTGTTGCTCCAAGTCCTTTTTCAAAATCCTGGATGAAAATAAAAATTTGACTTTAAAAAGACGTGGTATAGTTGTGTCTTTAAATTTTCAGGTGGCTCAACATGAGTTATGTCTTTTACATTTGCATACCGATGCTTGTGAAGCTACATTGCTCAGGAACGCTTTGACACACAGAGAAACTTCTTGGCCCCATGTTTTTCCATTGCATTTGCGTGTCAGAGTGCCTTGTCTCCCTGTTGCCGTACAATCTATTACAGCTGTATCATTATTCTTGGTTTTTGGCCATGTTCTGGTAGAAATGACTTCTGCTGCACAAAAGAGGTCATTGGCTACAAAAAGAAAACAGTTGAAAGATTAGCTACTTTACATTATTGATCATTTTTACTAGTCGAATATGACTTTCAGTAGGCCTACTTACGGTAAATGACTGATACGCTTGCTGAGAAATTTCGCTGCTGATTTAAAGAGTTCACTAATACACAGCTGGCGGTGAGGGAAGGGGGTTTTCCTGTTGCCAGACAGTTCACAGTGAAATCTGCCGAATACTTGATTAAACCATTGCTCTCTGGAAAACATTGTTAACATTTTTATCAGTGTTCACTTCAGGCTTTAAGTGCAATAAATGGTGAACGTATGTAATAAATGCATCTGGAAACACTCAAAATGTATCAATTTCATTAAATGTGTAGCTTATTACATTTGGATTAGTTCAATGTTTAGTTAATGGTCCTGAAACTGCGTTCTCACTTTTATACATAGTCAAAAACTTCACTGGAAGCAAATGAGAAATTAATTTAATCATAATCAAGCATAAGTGCTTGGTATTGGTCATGCAAAATCTCGCTGAAAAGGTCATCGAACACAATTTATGCATGAGCTTTAGCAGGCCCGTGCAGAGACCGTCCAAAGGGCATGTGCAGGATTAATTTTTTGAAGAGTGGGGGGAGGTGGGGGGTTTTGTCGCGCGCTTATTGATAAGCAGTGTTGCCACGCGCATACGGAACAGCGGTGTTGTCGCGCGCGTTCTGATCAGCAGTGTTGCCGCGCGCGTTCTGATCAGCAGTGTTGCCGCGCGCGTACTGTTAACCGTGGGGGTGGTGAGCGCGCATAATCAAGAGCGATGTTGTCGCGAAACTACTGAAGGGCGGTAGGGGCATGTGTCGCGGGGGCACTTTTGATAATTTTGGAAGGGCAATTTCTAGCCAAGACTGAAAAGGGCATATGCACTGCACAGGTTGAGCCCTATGTGTGCACGTGCCTGAGCTTTAGAGTAAAACATGTTTTGTGAAATGTGTACTTCACATTAGTTTTTAAACTGTACACTCATCCAACTGCTCTTTAACGCACATTTCTAATCAGCCAATCATAGTTAAGTTAATCTGCTGCAGTTCAAACCGATCATCAGATTGGGGAAGAAAGGTGTTTAAGTAACTTTGAATATGGCATGGATGTTGGAGCCAGACGGGCTGGTCTAAGTCATTCAGAAACTGCTGATCTACTGGGTACAACCATCTCTAGGGTTTACAGAGAATGGTCTGAAAAAGAGAAAACATCCAGAGTGGCAGGTCTGTGGGCACAAATGTCTTGTTGATGCCAGAGGTCAGAGGAGAATGGCCAGACTGGTTTGAGCTGATAGAAAGGCAAAAGTAACCCAAATAATCCGTTACAACTGAGGTATGCAGAACAGCATCTCAGAACACACAACATGTCCAACCTTGAGGTGGATGGGCTACAGCAGCAGAAGACCACAATTTGCCATCAACAACATGAAAGCATGGATCCATCTTGCCTTGTATCAATGGTTTAGGCTGCCGATGGTGGTGCTCTGGTGCTGGGGACATTTTCTTTGCACACTTAGGGCCCATTAGTACCAACTGAGCATCGTGTTAACGCCACAGCCTACCTGAGTATTGTTGCTGACCATGTTCATCCTTTTATGACCACAGTACTTTCAGCAGGATAACGCAACATGTCATAAAGCCTGAATCATCTTAGAGTGGTTTCTTGAACATGACAGTGAGTTCACTGTATTCAAATTGCCTCCAGAGGCACTAGAGCTCAATCCAATAGAGCACCTTTGGGATGTGGTGGAACGGGAGATTCACATAATGGATGTGCAGCCGACAAATCTGCAGCAACTGCATGATGCTATCTTGGCAATATGGACTAAAATCTCTGAGGTATACCTTATAAAGTTGCCCGTGAGTGTATGTTTGTGTATTTTTCATAACAAGAAATAAAGTTGAATAAAAAACTAAAACAACAAAAAACATAATAACAAAAAACATTACTGAAGTGATATACACTACATTCATTTCATGCAAGGAAAAAAAAAAAAAAAAAAGAATTTTTTTATCATCATTCAATAACAGCACCACATGGTTAATGTCATTGTAAATTGCTCTGCTGACAAATCTGCAGCAACCCGAGTGATGCTATCAGGCCAAACTTATCATGACAAAGACGAAACAGTTTGTGATGCATTTATCAAGTTGTCATAATGTCAACTTTTCATTGTGTAAATGACACTTAATGACATTAAAAACTTGTTAAAAACATTATAAACTTTCTCAAGTAAATGTTTTTAAATTAGTACAAACTATATGTGACTTGAAGCCATGACAGATTATGTTTGCTTTGTAAAGATAACGAAAAGCCAGTGTCAAACACTATTTAACTAAATTCTAAACATAATTGTAGGCTTACCTAATTTAGTTGGTGTAAGATTTTCCATACTTCCGAGTTTTAGTTGGGACTTGTACGTTTCAGTGCTGTTGAAGATGGAACATGTGATGGTAACTTTAGCGGTTGATGATGCAGAGCAGTCTATCGTTTGTGGATTGCTTGTCACATTACTGGCCTCTGGCAGCAGTGCAATATCAACTGGTGCCATTGCCATATGAGCTACGTTGTCTGTGACAAAAAGGCAGCTGTATGTTCCTGAAAAAAAAGAATTTAGTTCACAATGTTGTAATATTAATGTCCTGTTTTACACTGTAAATAATTTTTGTAAATTACACATCACTGTAAACTGTATTTTGCTGTTGGACAATTTTGCAGTATGTTACCATATTTTAAAGTTGCAATGTAAAAATTACTGTATATTTTACAGTAAAGATATGCAATACTGTAAATGCATATACAGTAAGATAGTGCTGTAAATGTAAATACAGTATTTTTTGCTGTAATTAATTTACAGTAAGTTACTGCAGTTTCTACAGATCATTATTAACAATGCATTATTAACAGTTTTTGTAAATTTCACAACATTGTAAACTGTAATGTGAACTGTATTTTACTGTAGGACAGTTATGCAGTATGTTACCGTATTTTAAAGTTGCATTGTGAAAGTTACCGTATATTTAACTGTAAAGATAAACAATACTGCAAATGCATATGCAGTAAGATAATGCTGTAAATATAAATACAGTATTTTTTGCTGTAACTGATTTACAGTGAGTCACTGTAGATTCTACAGGACATTAACAATGCACTTTAACAATTTTTTGTAAATAACACTAACTGTAATGTTAACTGTATTTTACTGTAGGACAGTTATGTAGTATGTTACAATGTAAATACAGTAATTTTACAGTAATTGATTTACAGTAAGTTGCTGGTGAACTGCTGCCAGTAAGTTACTGTAGGTTCTGCAGGAAATTGTTAACAGTGTATTCATATGATTGCATACACACCTGACCAGTATCCATTTGTCTTTAAAAGCGTGACTGCAGACATTTCTGTACATGTATCTGAAAGCATTATTTCACTCCCTGGTCCCAAAGTCAATGGCGCTTCGTCGCCTCTGGACATCTGCCATACACATTTGCTCATAGCTTCTATAGAGGTACAGTTCAGCTGTTGTCTTGAATTATAGCATAATTTTCCTGCAGGTGCCTCAATGTATACTAAGCCTGCAAAGATAATATAAAACACAGCAATGTTAAAAGGATTGGTTAGGATAGACAAAGGAAGTAGTCATATGTATAGGCAAGGTTTCAATGTTTTACCTAGAGTCTTAACATTGAGTGTGTAAATCGCTGGATTTGTCAGCAGTGTAGTAATGATGCCTTGAACTTTGGAGGTGGCAAACACTGCACCGAGAGACACTGTGAAATTGTGGGAGTATGTATTTAACCCTGTGAGGCTGTGACAAAAATGAAGAAGCATTACGCTTGTGGTTAAAAAACCATTGTAGATTGTGTATACAGAGTTCAGATAATTACTGATATAAATGAAATAATACAAAAATATCTCACAGGCTGGCTTGCATAGTCAAAGAGTTGAAGGCATTCAGCACATTAAAAGCATTCGTCAGCTGAAAAGAAAATGTGTTAGGATGAGTAAGAACTATCTTGACTTAATAAAAGCTACTCTGCATTTCAGTGTTGCGCAATCTTTCCAGTTAAAGCAAAGATCCTATTTTTTTTTTTGGCAAATAGGCTCAATTTACAAGTCACCTTGAGTTAAACTGTTAAGTTTCACCATTTTTTGAATCCATTCAGCAGATCTCCAGGTCTGGCTGGAGAACTTTTAGCTTAGCTTAGCATAAATCACTGAATCAGATTAGACCATCTCACTTAAAAAGTTCTGATATAGAGTTTTGATAATTCTCCTATTTAACGACTCTTCTTTAGTTACATTGTCAACGTTTCCATGGACATCAGTAATCAAATTATTTGCCTTAATCTGAATAAGACAATGATTATATGATTAAGGTGTTAACATGAGGTGCTTTTTCAGTGTTTCTTTCATGATCCCAGTTTACACGTTATAGCACATAATTTGATTAATGTCATTGCTACTATCCACATTTCCTCTGGAGTTTCATGAAATTTTAGATGTTTCCTATTCAATTTGTTGACTTTAACTGCAGTTTGGCAGGAACATTTCATGAATGGCCCCATGGCAAACGAAATATTGGATGCAAGGAACTGCTGGAAGAGTGTTGTTTTAATGGAATTTAATACGGCACCGAGTATGGGAAAAATGTTTTTCGTGATCCAGGTGTCTGTAGTCCTTCAATGACTCGGTGGGTGCAGAGAACAGTTAATGGACTATCCTGTTAAAAAATGCGGCAAAAATCCTACACAACGGTAATAGTTTGATTGCGTTGTTTACATGCCTGTACTGCACTTCAATAATGCGACTATAAATCAGCATACTCCACATGTCTTAATTCCATTTCTGTTTAGTTCAATTATGAACTTAATCAGATTAAATAATCAAAAGTCTCTGTTTATATGGAAGACTCTTAATTAAAGTATTGTCTTAATCGAATTAAAATCAGATTATTGGTGTCCATGTAAATGTACTCATTGTGTACTAACACTAACGAAAAAAGAAAAGTTGCAATTTTCCACAAACAGTCACAGTTTTCAAAATGGCTAGGAACTATGCTCTCATTCCAGCTTAATAACCAAGGAACTTTGCTGCCATTCTATGGCTGCAGCAGACACTCCTATTACACAGTGCTATCATTGAGTAACCTATCTATTTTCAGGTGCTGCAAAATATCATAGCAATTTTTTATTTTCTGTCGGTCCTAGTACACAATGTAATTTTTGAAATTTTTGAATGAGATGCAAATAGTCTAATCATATACAATGATTAGTTCTAAAGCCTGATTTATACTTCTGCGTCAGGTGACCGGCGTAACCCACGGCGCAGGCAACGCGCGTGGCTGTGCATTTATACTTCTGCGCGCTGTCTCTGCCGGTCTGCATTAACACTTCCGAAACGCTAGTTGGCAGTGAGGTGTAAATGTTCCTCTGTGTCGAGTTTCTTCGCTACTTTTTTGCATTTCCTGAACACTTCCGGGATGTACAAGTGGCTCAAACTCGCTCATTTTGAGGCAGGAACCGGCGGACGTGCAACAACTTTAACTATGAGGTAAACACAAAACAAAACTTTCCATCCGGAGCTCCTTCACGGGACTCCACACTTGTAAACAATCGCTCGCGCGGCGTCGCGCCATTCGCGCGCCTCTCGGTCCCGCCCAGACTCGTCAGCGCTACCAAGCTGACCAATCACAGAGCTTACGCTACGCGTCGTTGCGACGTGTAGTTACATTTTTTGAGAGGTGCACGTCAGTGACGGCGATGGCCACGGCGAAGGGCTATGCGTCAGCGCCGTAGCATACGCCGGTGTTTGACGCAGAAGTATAAATCAGGCTTTAGACCTAAGCTAAAGGTGCTTCTACAAGACCCAGAGTAAGGCTCAATAGATTGACCACAGAGAGTCAAGACCTTGAACTAATGTCTCATCCAAAAGACAGCACCCACTGACAGTATAGTGCTCCCTTCACTTTCACTAGGGCATTAGGACTCACACCGAACAGATTGAGGGCCCCCTTTTGGCTTCTCCAACACCACTTCCAACAGCAATATATAGTTTTTCAATGTGGTCACCCATCCAGGTATTGACTAGGTTAAGCCCTACTTAGCTTCAGTAAGTAAAGAGTCTTGGACAGCAGGGTGATATGTCTGTGGCTTGGTTTTACAAGTCTAGTGCAGTTGTCAATTGAGCCCATTAACAATAAATAAATAAATCCTGAAGGAATTTTCCATAACACAAGGTAAATCATTACTTTAAATGGCTAATAGTTGGTTGATGATTCTGTGATGTTTCAGTTGGGTCCTATTGTGAAAGCATTGATGGTGTATACATTTTCTTCTAAAGTTTCTTTTTTAATTTATTTGTTTTTATTTTTGATCATAATGTTGTGCTCAAGGTAATGGTTTTAATGTTTAACAGCTGGTTTGTAATAAAAATATATTTAAATTTGGCTTAGATTTTTTTTCAGCAGGGTTGTGCTCGAAACACAAAAAGCTGGTGTGAAACTGGTGGTATTACAATTTTATATAAAGAAAGACCATCCATAAAATCTATCTAAAGTTACGTAGCTTTTGTTATTCAGGAATAATAAAATAATAAAATCGTAATAATAATAATAATAATAATAATAATAATAATAATAATAATAAAATCATAAATTATAGAACTGAATTGAGATCAGTTAAAGGCAGATCAGCGCCATCTTGACCAATCAGAATAGTTTTAATAACAAATTTAGTCTCGCTTTCGGAAATCACTTCCCTTATAAAAATGGGTCATTATCGTAAAAGGGTAAAGCACTTTTTTTTCTTTTTTTTTCTGTGAATTGATTGATATTTGTATAACCTCACCACATTTAAACTAGATAAGCTAATTCTTTTAATTTGCATTGCATTTGATTTGCTCATGGTATGTTATAATTCTTTAAACTACAGTAACCATGTTTATTTATTGTTTTAATAAATAATGTTTTAAATAAATAATGTTATATTATAATGTGTAAATGTTTTAATTAAAGCTTGATGATGCAGTGTTTTGAAAGCACCCATCAAACTACTCGCCTGGTCAACTTTTTAATTCTCAGCACAAGTATTGAGATAAAATATAAGTGGTTATACAATTATTACTCTAAATCATAGGTCTCAAACTGGATTCCTGGAGGGCTGCAGCTCTGCACAGTTTTGCTCCAATACTAATCAAACAGAGTTGATCTAAATAATCAAGGTGTTCAAAAGAGTCTTGAACACATTGATTAGTGGCGTCAGCTGTGTCTTTATCTTTAGAGTGGCGTCATCTTTCTTTAATTTTGTAAGTAGATTTATGATAAGCATGATAAGTCGTCATTATGGTAAAATAAATCTCTATATGCATCTTGAGCAATTGGAGTTTATTTTACAATAATCAGTTGGCTTTTTTAAAATTATAAATACACCAGCATATAATTACATATAAGCATATAGCATATATCAATAGCATATATTAATATGAATTTCTGTGGCTGCTTGTAAATAAATCTAAGATCGGATATAAGATCAATCAATTATCAAAATAAAGAAATGCACACATACCATGGTCTGCACTGATGAAGAGCTACCAGTGAGCGTGCCAATGAGTGAAACTAGAAGAATAGCAGTGAAACAATCATAAATATTGTCCAGAGGTACAAGTGATAAAATGTTAACAACTTTGAGTTTAGTTTGACAACTCACCATTCGCTATGGGCAGACACAGAGGTGTGAAGTTTGATATGTTTGCCACACACTGATACACATTGCAGCATTTATTTACATTATCACACACATAATTGCTCCAAACGTAACCCGGTCCACACCAGCACGTTGTATTTTGGCCAACTATCTCACACTCTAAATAAAACAAATCACACCGTAAGAAATGCTGTGTTCCATACAATCAATTTGTGTCGGGCAACATGAAGGAACTAAGAATTGAACATAAAACTATTAAGTTGCCATGCTAAAAAACTCAAGAACTGTGTTGTTTCAGCTCATTTTAAATAAGTAGTTTGAACAAACAGCAAAAATAATGTTTAGATCCAACCAATACTACTTACACTGTAAAAAAATGCTGGGCTCCATACAGTCCCTTCATGTCGTCTCAATGCAAATCAATTAAGTTAACTTAATGTTTTTTTACAGTTTTAAATTAATTGAACATGAAACAATTGCTCCCAAAAAAAAACTCAAGAATTGTGTTGTTTCAGCTCTTTTTAAATAAGTAGTTTGAACAAACAGCAAAAATAATTTTTAGATCCAACCAATACTAGTTAAACTGTAAAAAATGCTGAGTTCCATACAGTCCCTTCATGTTGTCTAAATGCAAATCAATTAAGCTAACTTAATGGTTTTAACAATTTTAAGTTGACAAAAAAAATAATTTTGTTGTTTCAGCTTATTTTAAATAAGTAGTTTTAACAAGCAGTAACAATTTTTGAGTGTTTTTGTTACACTGGGAACTGTTCATGTCAATTATGAAGATTTTACAAACTGAAAGACTTCTCAATTAATACTGGATTATAGGTAATGACTCATAACATCTCTTACCTGCTGCTATTTCAGCACCTGTGATAGTTACCCCTGTATCCAGAACAGTCCCTATAAGCCCAGGCAGATAGTCTGCAACATTTAAGGTTTTATTCCCCTCAATCATAACCTCTGCCCAGTAAGTCACATCTGTGGACCCTAAAAACATTGAAAATGGTAAGGGATAAATTAGCTTTGTTTCATCACCATATGATGCAACTCTGTGTGTTTTGTAGATTTTAAAGCTTGACTGATTTATTAGGGAAATAAAATCTTACCTGCTTGTGAAGTCTATTGGGTAACAGAAGAATAAATGAGTCAGTAATTGTTTTGCTTCTGTTTTTTTTTAGTTATAAATGATCAAGATTTGTAACAAGATATGTTAGAAAGAAAAAAGTGCTCTGCATCAATAATACATTTACACCTAAACACAAAATTACCAGAGCTCATGTGAAATATTTATTCTTTTAAAAATATTTTTTAAGTTATGTTTAAAAGAGAAAGGACATTTCACTTTTTTTTTCAGGAGAAAGTCTTATTGCTTTCAGTTTGACTAGGATTAAAGCTTATAAATAAAAGTTTTATATTTAAAAAAAATTTTGAGGTCAATATTATTAACTTGACTTGTCTAACCAAGTAAACCTGCCTAATTAATCTAGTTAAGCTGATTATAGTATCTTGCTCAATAGCTAGTATACATATTATGTACTGATCAAAGAAAGTAGTTAAAAGAATCGAGTTATTAAAACTATTATGTAAAAACCATCATTACATTACATCAAGCAGCACTTGAAAAATATTTGAAAAAGACGTAAAAAATTCACCGGAGTCTAATAATTTTGCCTTCTATTGTACATGAATTAGCATGTAAGATAGCTTGATCTTTGGCCAGAGCAGAAGAAATTTTAATCTGGTTTTTGGCCAGTATGTGGCAGCCAGATGATAACACTGTAAAAAAAATCCTGGTTGCCTTACGTTTTTAAGCTGAATCAAATTAACCACACTTTTGAATTTTAATATGTTGTCTTAAAACAGCTTGCATTACTTATAATCTAAGTTAGAACATTATTTACTTAATTTAAAAAGTTACAATGAACTAAAACATAGGCTGTCATGACTAATTGACCATATAATTTTTTACAATGTACTATTCATAGTTTGTGTTGTATTACTCAGGATACAATCTGTATTCATATATAGCCTTTGTGTGTTTACCTGGCTAATAATGAATAGTGCAGCAAAAAGCAGCATCCCTGCACCAGACAGTGTCTTGATCCTATTAAGGAGATTGTGATCAATATTAATAACAGTCACAAATGTTTTCCTAAAAAAAAATTTTCTTTTCCAAAGTGAGACTTTCTGCACATATATCTCTTAATGTTTTCATACTAATGTACTATAAACTGTTTCCCTGAAGCTTCTCATAAACCATGAACCAACAGAAAAAACCTTTCAAAACACCGGGTAAATACATTCACATTTATATGTTTCAGTAAATGTTACATAACATTAAGAAGTTAAATAAAACAAAAGCAAGCTTACAATACTGTAAATTCAGAACTCCTACAATGTTTGGATGAATATATTATTCTGTAAACACCCATATTACTTAACATACAATTACATTAACTAAAGAATATATGGTCATACAAGCCAAAAAATACTGACCTTACAGTGTGCATTTTTAAAAAGGTTTTAAGCTGTTATCTGTCATAACAACATGTTCCCTGTGAAGGACCAGTTTCTAGAGTGAAAGAAGATGTTGAATGAGAATTAGGGAAAGTTGACAAATGCAGAGGGGTGGAGAAAGCAAATTTACAAAGCTCTCTTTCACATTTGCATCCCCCTCCAAGTCCAAAGGCCACCTGGATAAGTTAGCACAAAATAGTCATCGCTTCAGACTTTCCATTGAGATTTGGCTAACAAATGTAGCGCAAAGCTCCCAAACTAGGTTTGGTTAGATAGTCATTTGGGGCTGATTTAGATAAATCATTTTTATGCTTAAACCTGCGGTGCTATCAGAAATAGGAAGAAAAAAAATCTTGTGAATGTCAAATTCAAGGCATTTGAATAAATATGCCCACGTTTCTAATTTACTTCCTGTTTATTGAGAAAGTGTCCATTTTAGCCTAATGGAGGAGTAAAAAGCTGAGTTGAATGTGTAAAATCTGATATTTGCTAGTGGTGAACATAAAAATACATTTTCCCTCCCATCGTTCTTTTAAACCTCCCGTTATGCTGACCACTACCGCAGTCAGCTCATCTTACGCATAATATGACTATGGTAATATGTGGTAACACACAGGCCATGTTTATTCAGTATGAGGTTGTTGTAGTAAACATAAATCTAAGCAGCTGAGTAATGTTATAGGAAAGCAGTTTAAAAGTTTTATAATGATTATGAGTGAATAAAAAGCATTATGATTAACTTCAATGCTTTTCAAATCTGACTCAAAGCAAACTCAATCCAAGCTGCTGCATTATCAATTCAAACTATTGCATAAGCTTAAGTGAAATATTTAAGTAAGGGCTTAAAGAAAGATTTAATGTTCAGGAACACACTTGCAAATTAGTGTCTTGTTTTCTTCAAATGTATTTGTTTGTTAAATAAGCATCCATGGAAATGTCTCTGGTTTGCATGCTCATTCAAAATCAGGAAACAGCCCCAAGAAGGTTAATAATTTCAGTGAGTAAACTAGATTAAATATGAGTTGATATTTTGTTTCATAATGTATTATTTTTCTTTTGTTGTGTCCTATTCATGGTCTTTAAAGGACCTGCAATCGTTCATTTAAAGCTGCATCAGTCTACGAAGGGACACTTGACAATATATGTTCATATAGAATAGACTTTTCCTCCATATTAGGTTGAACATTAAAGAATATAAACAGATTTAGCACTCAGATTGAAAGGGGGAGTGTTTTAAAATAAAGTTTCCTTGGATATGATTTCATTAAGTATAATGACGATATACTGTTCAAATGAAATTAATTAATAAATGAAATCCAGTTTACCCCTGGAGCATTTAGAGCTCATGCTGAAACTTACACTGATGTCAAACGAATAGCTGATCTGATGGTAATCATTTTCTGGATGTGTGCTCATCTATGAGAAAGACACACAGCTGACAGTCTGCATGCAAATTTTAGGCTGTGTGGTGATATTCAAACGAAAGGCTTTTGCCAAATGGAGTTCAGCAGATAAGAGAATGCAACAGAGAAATTCATTCAAATTATTTTATTAAATTTATTATTCCATTAAAATAAACTTTCTTTAAAATATCATATAATTCCTCGTTTTATGAAATGTTTCATGCAGTGGTCTCAAACTCAATTCATGGAGGGCTGCAGGTCTGCATAGTTTAGCTCCAACCAGCTTCAACTCACACCTGCTTAATAGTCTCTTGTAGTTTAGAACACCTTGATTATTTGGATCAGCTGCGTTTGATTAGGATCGAAACAAAACTGTGCAGAGCTGCGGCTCTCCAGGAATTGAGTTTGAGACCTATGGTTTAATGGGACACAGTGTACTGTGGTAATAAGAAGGATTTGCTCTGTTGTTTGTTACTATTATGATTTACTCTAATATAAAAAAACTTTTAATTATTTATCAAAGCATTTCCCCTTTTGCTTTTTTTGTTGACTTTAAACTTTTGGTTGACTTAAATTTAAAAATATTTTATTACAGTGTTATTAAATCACTAACCTATATAGTGCATACATAGTATACATATAGTGCATAGTTAAGTGCATACAAAGAGGGAATGAAAATGAGTTCAGATACAGAAAGAGCAGTCTGTCATGGACAGTTTCATCATGAACACAAATCCAACCCATCTGAAATAATGTTTAGTTTGCTTTCATAAATTGCTCTGTATGTTTATTTCATTTAAATAGTGATACAATGCGTTTGGCTCAATGTGTCCAGTGCAACAAGTGATTTATTTTACATTTTCAGGTACAGGAGTAGTTTACAAAAAAAAAAAAAAGTTTAAGAGTGAACATTTTTAAGATGTTAATTAAATGTTATTTACATTTTGTTCATATACAAGACATTTATAGAGAACATTTTTGACTTACTAAAACAATTCTCTAAAGTCAGTCAACATTCATTCAGTCAATTATTTTTCTTTGGCTAAGTCCCTTATTTATCAGGTGTCGCCACACAGAAATGCCAACTGGCCCAGCCTGGACTTGAACCAGCAACCTTCTTGCTGTGAGGCGATAATGCTAACCACTGAACCACCATTCTTCCCATCAAGTCAGCAATCACCCCCTATTAAACAATAATTATGACATTTTTGTTTTACCCCCCCATTTCTCCAACCAAAGTTTCACTCTAATGCATTCATATTATTTGGAAGGTTTGAAGGTGCAGCTGCTGACAAATCCCCAGACACATCGTCCATGTCTGCAAATAGTTAGATTCATGTTACTTGAAGAATACTTATCCATTGTCAATAAGGTACCAGCTGAATTTTAATGTTATATATCAATTTTCAGTTAAAATTTCACCACTTACTTCTACTGGGAGGCCTGAACAAAACCTGTTCATTTTGAATGGTCTGTAATTTGGATTTGAAGATATAATCAGTAAACTCAGTACACCCATCATTATGAAGAGAACATGAATATGATGCAATATTTTGTAGACATTTACCCTGGTACGGTTAGAGCTGGTAAAGTTCCTTAGTGACCACCTTTCTGCCAGTGCATTACGAACCTGAAACCATACATGACAACTTGGGTCAAAGCTCTATAGACAAAGATGGATCCCTCCAAAACCATTTTTAAATATTTGCAAGGTGGATTCAGGCAATAGGATAGCTAAATGACTTAAGAAAACGTTATCCAAGTTTTGATGGTTTAAAACTAGATTTCTAGTCTATTACCACCTTCTGCTAATAATACTAACAATGTAAATAACTGCAGTTAGAGTAGTAATACATGTGGGACAGCATTGCTGTTGTGTGAATGGTGACAATTTGTGGCAGTTCAAGGTTTGTGTGGAATTTAAACTACAGATAATTCATAATTGAACTGGTTTAACAGTATTTTTATTATTGTACAAAATAGATGTTATGAATTAATAAAACATATTACTGTGTACCCAGCTTGAATGTAGAAATACACAGAGAAAGTTTACATTTAAATAGAAAGAGTTAGGGAGGGAGACATGGGTACTGTTAAAAAGAGTAAAATTTAAAGAAAGAGAGTAATAGTTAAACTGCAAAGGAAAAATAGGAAAAGAGTATTAGTTACAAGCTTCTTTCTCTATTTTTAATGTGTGACTAAAAAAGACATTAAAAGTTATCTATGATGTAGCTACATCCAGTGCTCGAATTGAGGAGGGATGCAGGAGATGGCATCCCCCTTATGGAAAAAATGACAAAAAGCATCCTCTTTGTAAAATCAGCGTCTCCCTATACCATCCTCTTTAGATTAACAAGAGTGTGTGTAATGTATCAAGCAAGTGAAATATTAAAATTCTCTATTTATGGTAATTTATGACTGTTAACCAACGGCGATTGACCAATCAGAACTTAGTATTGTAATAAGGCGCCACACACAAGTGGAATACAGTTCATTGCGTCATTTCGCACGTTTTTTAAAATGTCTAAGAGAGCAGTTCAGACGCAACTTGTTGCTTCTTTAAAAAGATGATAACAGAAGGTGTAATATTTAGCTGTTTAATGTTATATGTATGCTGTACCTGCGGTGCACAACTGCATTTTAGAACAGTTAAGTTCTTGATGCGAGTTTTGTTTATAAATGGATCTTGAGCTTTGATATGAGACACAGTTGTCCATTCAGACAGACATTTGTGAATGAATTAGCTGTTCATACAACTCAATAAATCATTCAGTGACAAAGATGGAGACTTGACTTTACCTACTGGCGGTTTTAGTTTCAATTTTCATTATAATTTTATAATTAATTTTAATAATGCCACCTCCTTTGCCTTGTTAAACAGTCCATTTATAAATGAACAGTTAATTTATCTAAATGCTAACTTAGTTTTTTTCTTTGCCATCTTTGGTGTGTCAAGGAATTTTGTTGATTCAATCTGCTTGTAAGATATTCTTCCTGATATTATTTCAGTTTATATAAAAAAAGCTCATGTAGTTTGGCCATATAAGGTAAACATAGTGTTGTAAATAAAAAGGTAAATTTATATTTAGTCAATCAAACAGTCGCTGGTAGTTAGACTTACATTGTCAATGGATTAACTGTCACTTTTAATTTCATAATTTTCTTAAAAAATGACATGTTTAAGTTTATTAATGGAGAGAGAGAGAGAGAGAGAGAGATAGATAGATAGATAGAGAGAGAGAGAGAGAGAGAGAGAGAGAGAATAAATTATACCTGTGAGTTCACCAGCAACCCACTAACCAAATTGAAGATTCCCTGTTAAAATAATAGTTATTAAAAGTTTATGTCTGGCTGTGTTTTATTTAATGAAAACTGTTGCAAAATAGTTTATATTGCATGTTTCACATTTGCATAATATACTGTAAATATGGCTGTATAAAAGATGAATTTAGAGTCATAAAAATCTACCTGCAGGGAATTGAGGATTGTAAACACCAGATGAATTCCATAGTCAGGAGACAGCATGGTCCCAATTCCTAATCCCCACGTTACTCCAAAGAGAGGGCTCACTATGAGCACAACACGGGTCACAGTGGGCAAGATATTTGTCTCCTTATTTTGCTGTTTTCTAACTATCAGCATCTTATATAAAACCACAATAATAATCAAAACATTAACAGCTGTAAAACTGCTTGCCAGAGACACAAAAATTTGCAACGCTTTTGTTTCATCGAAGTTCAACCAGCACACATCTGCTTCCAAAATATATTTTCCTTCTCTAGCAGTCAATCCATAAGTAATGACCACTATCAGCAAAGGTGCACCATAACCAAGAAAGAAGGCAATGGCCATCATTTTAGCCCTTGACATCTGGGAATATACCATGGTTGTCATGTATAAGAGCAGCATAGCTGAAATTAGCATCCAGAAGAAAAAAGCCAGGAAAAAGAGGTGCATGCTGAAAGCCACTGCAGTGCATGGACCCACTGGAGCGAGCTGCCCTGGCTGCACAATTGAGGCTCCAATGATAAAACAGACATCTGCAACCAGCAGGGAAACATTAGTGTTTACTAAGCAGACATGTCGTAAGTAGGCAGAGTTACTTTTTGTCACTGTCGTCCATACAATAGCTCCAATAATTAGGCTTATAACCAAGCTGAGCACTGAAATACCTAGACCAGTATAAGTTATGTAGTCTAAGGCTTTGTCATCAATAAAAAATGGTGACATAAGGAGAGAAAAAGAGGTTGTGTGGTTGCATTCACATGTAATTTTATCAATTTTCTCCTCTTCACTTAAATTGGGCTTTACTTCACATCCAGTGGAATCCCAAGTGCTGAGATGAAAGTTCCAAAAGACACACTGAGGATTTCCCAAAGACTGTTCAGTGGTGTCAAACACAAAAGAAATGTTCTGAAGTGTTTGATTAACCTTAACAACAACCACATCTCCATTGATGCGCACATCTGGTTTCCCCTTGCCATTAGCAGTATAGCGAGCAGGTAGTATACTGTGAAGTGTTGTGAGGATTATGATGGTTAAGGAGGTTGGTTTAAGAACCTGCTGTATCAGTATCTCAGTGGTTGAGTTTGGCAGGTGTGACTTTCCACTATATGAGTTTTCTATTACAGTGTTGATCAACTCAATGGACGTTTTATTGATTACAAAACTGTCATGTGTAAGGCGGCTACATATGTCCTCAACAGCACCCAGAAGTGAAATGCTGGTGTTTACTGTCATCTTGCTGTTGTTTAATTTCTCCCATGTTCTTCTAGATTTTTTTGATACAAGTATGTCCACTGTTTGAAGAATATTCTGCAAATGCAATAAAGAAGTAACAATAATAACACTAACCTTCAATACACATTAAAACACTAAATTAACTACACATACCTCCATCTCAGGCTTTCTAAAGGTAATGTTTTGTGAGATCTCAGCAATATGAACAAGGATCTTGACCATTGTTTGGACAGTAGCAGCAGACTCTGTGATCTCCTCATGATGCTGTGCTGTAGCTGTACTGAGTTGGGCCACAAACTCTGGCATGTCCCACACAAACAAAGCCTTAATTGCAAAGCAAAATAAATAAACACAAGTTTAGGCCTGCGCTTTGAATGAGAGTGAACATAAAAGGTCGACTTGCAGTAATCTGAATATTAGCAAACAGTGTATTGAATATCTGCTAACCTGTGGTGTAAAGTGACTAATTACAAATACTCAAATTACTGTAATTGAGTAATTTTTCTCAGGAATTGTAATTCAGTAAGTAGTTTTAAAAATGTGTGCTTTTACTTTCCTTTAAGTACATTTTTAGTGGAGTAATCAGTACTTTTACTCCACTACTTGCCTTCAACCTGCAATCACTATTTTTTTCTTGTCTATGGGGATTAAAAAAATGTCCTGTGATTCCTGTCCAATCAAATCACATATAGAAGGTAAATAGCCTCATAATGAACTACCTCAAAATAGGGTTAATTAAAATAAATATATTAATGCAATTTAAATATATAATATTATAATATATGAATTGATGTTTACCTTAAACTTATTAACTTATTATAAATATATAATTATATTGTTCAATTATAATGAGATATATATATATATATATATATATACATACACATATATTTTTTGTGTGTCAAATTATTTTGTGGCTAAAAAGTATCAGTTCAGGCACCGTTTTGGCACCTGTACCATTTTAAAAATATTGATTTAGCATCGGTATTAAAATAACCCCAAACGATACCCAGCCCTCCCTCAAATTATGTGCACTTTATAATTGCAGCAAACTGTTTAGAAGCATTAAAAATGTACAAGATGCCCAAAATCTTTACATGCATTGACCCAGAGACTGTAAAGATGCATGTGACTTATGAGAAGATGACAGATGTTTACTGTATGATGATCGAAATGACCTTAAACATCAAGCAGGCACAAGATGTCAACTTGATGTCAGAAAGAAGTTGTATTCCAGTGTCATGGGAATGTTGCAGTTTGTTTTTCCATGTAAACCATGGTAGTGTCAGCATGTGATGCCAAAATGATGTTGGATGTTTGCTCGACATTGGATTTTGGTCACTTTAAAACACAACCTAAAGTCAACTAAATATCAACGTCATTTGATGTTGTTATTGAACAAATAACATTGCTCTTGGACGATGGCTAGACAATCTAACCTAATGTTTTTTTGTTTCAATATTTTTATTGAGTTTCAGTTTTTCAAATATGAAAGAACAACAATACAAACCCCAAACCCATACCAATCCAACAGCGGGATAGCGCTCACATTAGCCAAAAATTAGCAAATATACAATTGTACATGTAGGTTTAAATACAAATACAAAGAAATAATAATTATTATAACCATAATAACAATAAATAAATAAATAAATAAATAAAAAAACACACAAGAAAAATTAATAAAAACATAAAAAAAAATAAAAAATTAAAAAAAAGGAAAAAGCATTTATTCAGCTAACATATAACCATACAGACCATATGTATAGAAAAATCAAATTATTTGAGATTTTCCACAAAATCAATAAAAGGTTGCCACACCTTAAAAAATTTTCCCTCCGACCCTCTTAATGAAAACCTGATTTTTTCTAAATGAAGACAAGACATAATTTCTCTAATCCACTGAGCATGAGTGGGAGGATGAGAATCCTTCCATTTTAGCAAAATAGCCCTACGTGCCAATAAAGTTGAAAATGAAATGATTTTACATTTTGAAGAAGGCAACTGTATATCCTCTGAAGTAACCCCAAATAGTGCCACCTGTGGATCTGGATCCAGCTTGTGCTGAAGAATCACAGATAACGTGTCAAATATTAACTTCCAGAAATGCTCTAAGTTGGGGCAAGTCCAGAACATATGAAATAAAGTGCCTTCAGCACAATTACATCTATTGCACAAAGGACTAGTACCTGGAAACATTTGGGCTAATTTAGTCTTAGAGATATAAGCTCTGTGCACTACTTTAAATTGAATAAGGGAGTGTCGGGCACACATTGATGATGAGTGAATTTTTTTAAGAATATCGTTCCATAGATCATTCGAAATTGAATCACAAAGATCCTCTTCCCAAGCACTCTTAATGTTATCTGTTAGGGTAGATGATTGGTTCAGAAGTAGATTATACAACATAGAAATTGAGCCTTTAGCTAGTATATTACAAGAAAGAAAATAATCTAAATGGTTTCCAGGGAGCAAAACAGGAAATTCCGGTATGAGGGATCTAACATAATCTCTTATTTGTAGGACTCTGAAAAAATCAGACTTAATCAACCCGTAATGTGATATCAACTGATCAAAAGATGCAAACACTTTGTCTATGAATAGGTCTTTAAAGCATACTATTCCCTTATCGTACCAACTTCTGAAAGAACTGTCTTGCATTGAAGGGGGAAAAAAAGGATTTCGAGCTATAGGGCTGAGAAGAGAAAAGCTATCAAAACCAAATGACCTCCTAAACTGAATCCAGATCCTCAGTGAATGTTTCACCACTGGGCAGTCTGTAAAATTGTAAGAAATCAATTGCCGCTTGGCCGCAAGTAGAGCCGGAAGAGAAATTTGATTATGAGCATGCATCTCCATATCTACCCAGGATGGTTTATTAGGCTGCAAATGATATTGCCACCAATACAGTGTATTACGCATATTCGCTGCCCAATAATAAAACTTAAAGTTGGGCAAAGACATCCCACCCTCACACCTGGCCTTTTGAAGGTGTGCTTTCTTCAACCTAGGATGTTTGCCATTCCAAATGAAATTAGAGATGACTGAATCTAAAGATTTAAAAAAAGATAAAGGAATAAAAAGAGGGAGACTTTGAAAAAGATACAGAAATTTTGGAAGGACCGTCATCTTAATAGAATTAATGCGCCCTATAAGTGATAACTTTAAAGGCGACCACTTAGAGAGATCTTTCTTAGTTCGCTCCAAGAGCACACCAAAATTATGTTTAAACAGCTGTTTATACTGGCGGGTAATACAAACACCAAGATAAGTAAATTTATTTTTAATTATCTTCAGAGGTATATTAGAGTACTGCAACTGCTTATCTACCATGTTTATTGGGAAAAGTTCACTCTTTTGTAAATTAAGCTTATAGCCTGAGAGCCTACCAAAGTTCTCTAGCAAAGTTAGAGCCGGGGGCAGGGAAATCTGTGGATTAGATATGTAAAGCAGCAAATCGTCTGCATATAATGTTACCTTGTGCATGGTATCCCTTCGTGTAATCCCGGCAATTTGCTGACATTCACGTAGAGCGATTGCCAGTGGCTCGATGGCAAGAGCAAATAATAATGGACTTAATGGGCAACCCTGCCTGGTTCCACGCTGCAAATTGAATGAACGGGACTGCAACCCATTAGTTAAGACTACAGCAGAAGGTGTATTATATAGTAATTTAATCCATGAGAGAAAGTTAGGGCCAAATCCAAATTTTTCTAAAGCTAGAAAAAGGTAATCCCACTCTACTCTATCGAATGCTTTCTCAGCATCTAGAGAAACTACACATTCTGGAATAGAGTGGTGCTGAGAGTAAATTATATTAAGCAAGCGGCGAATATTAAAAAATGAATGGCGGTTTTTAATAAAGCCTGTCTGATCAGGAGAGATTATGCTAGGGAGGACATTCTCCAACCTTGAGGCAATCACTTTTGCTAGAATTTTAACGTCGCAATTAAGTAAAGATATGGGTCTATAGGACGTACAGTCCAAAGGGTCCTTATCCTTTTTAAGCAGCAAGGAAATACATGCCTGACTTAAAGTAGGAGGGAGAGCCCCTGACTTGAAGGAGTCAGAAAAAACAACTGTTAAAAAAGGAGTGAGCTGCTTAGAAAATTTTTTGTAGAATTCTGACGGAAAACCATCAGGACCTGGTGATTTTCCAGATTGCATGACGGAAATAGCAGCTATCAACTCCTCCTGTGAAACAGGTTCCTCCAAAGATTTGCTAATGTCAGGGGGTAAGGTGGGAACCTGTATTTGATCAAAAAAGTTTGTAATATCTTCTCGTGAAGGGGATTCAGTAGTATATAAAGTAGAATAAAAGTCCCTAAATTTATCGTTAATGATGTTTTGGTCAGTTGTAATCTCACCATTATTTAGACGGATACCACTAATAATTTGCTTTGCCTTGAACCCACGCAGTTGGTTGGCTAATAACTTTCCAGATTTTTCCCCGCTCTCATAAAACACGCTTCTAGTTCTTCTCAGAAGGGACTCTATCTCACCAGTTGACAGTAAATCCAACTCTGCCTTCAGTTTACAGCGTCTCTCATATACATCCGAGGTAGGCGAACTTGCGTATTGTGTATCTAATCGAAAAATTTCATCAGCTAAGGATATTTGTTTTTCTTTCAACTTTCTCTTCTTGGTGGCATTATATGAAATGATTTGGCCTCTGATATATGCTTTAAGAGCATCCCAAACTATTATATTAGAAACATCTGGGGAAATATTAACACTCAAAAAGAAGGAGATTTGGTCAGAAATAAATCCAACAAAATCATCATCTGCTAAAAGTGAGGTATTAAGCCGCCAGCTCCTCCTTAGAGAGGGCAAGTTTGAAAACTTTAAATCAAGAACAAGGGGGGCGTGATCTGAAATAATAATACTTTGGTATGCACAGTAACAAACATCAGAAATCAGAGCATTGTCCAAAACAAAATAGTCAATTCGAGAATAAGAATGATGAACATTTGAAAAAAAGGAGTATTCTCTTTTTTGTGGGTTTAGAAAACGCCAAATATCGGAGAGGCCATTATCGGAAAAAAAATTATTCAAGTATTTAGAAGATCTACTGGGAGCACCTAATTTAGAAGAAGAGCGGTCCAAGCTTGCGTCCAAACAGCAATTAAAATCACCCCCAAGAATAAGAGAATGAGAATTAAGATCTGGAAGGAGTGAAAGGGCATGTTTAAAAAAAGTGATATCATCAAAATTTGGGGCATAAAAATTTGCTAGAATTAAATTCTTTTTACATAAAGTGCCTGTAACAATAATGTAACGTCCGTTTTTATCTGCTATTATGTTGTTTGGGGTAAAAGGCACGT